TTATTTTTATATCTGTAGTCTGTATGGATATCTGCCGCAAAACTGAAAAATGGAAACATACTGCCTAGAATATCAATGTTTTTCTGCACTGCCTAATTTGTGCCTTGGGAATTGTAAAGTTGCCATCCTGCTTTACAGTGGACATTTTATTACTCCTGTTATCATACTGTAAAAGAAATATAATCAGGATATATCTGTGAACTGATGCCAAGAACTTGCTCTCTCTTTTTTCTTATTTGCAGTAAAAGACTATTTCTAGACCTCCTTTTCGTTTTATCCTAGATTTTCAAACTTAGGGAAAGAGCACTGACGGTATCTCAGAAGTCGCAAAGTTCTGTAAAATTTGGAATTTGAACTTTTTGCTGGAGTAGGTTGAAAATTCCTGCTTAAGGCAGGAAGGGACTTAAAACAGAACTGAATGGACTGAATGCTTCTGGCAGGGGATTCTCCTTGATCCATATAGTACTTTTGAGGACCAGAGCAGTTTGCATTGCCCCACTTTAATGACCACTTAGGGAAGACTCATTCTTCAATATTTACTCCCCCCCAAAAAATAATATAAATAACTGAACTAGTAGGGGAAAATGGCAGAGGGTCATATTCAAGATTCATCATTTTAATTTTTAACAATTACCTCAAAAGAACCCAAAACATCAAAGACTCCCTCCTGGTTAGAGGGCATTGGATTTTAATAAACTTATTTGGCAGCTGTTTTGTTTTTTTTAATGAGTTTGTTTCAATTCAGGCAGCAAAGCTTAACCTCTGCAGGTAAAGCTTGTAACAGGTAGTCCTTGACTTATGACCGCAATTGAGCCCAAAATTTCTGTTGCTAAGTGGGACCTTTGTTAAATGAGTTTACACTTAACAGTCGTAAGTGTGAAAAAATACTTCTTTCAGTGTCATCGTAACTTTGAACGGTCACTAAATGAACTATTGTTAAGTTGAGGACTACCTGTAACATTCCTAAGGTATCTGGACTGGAATTTCAGCAATTCCGCTTGTTTCCACTAAGCTCAATTTCTTCTTTAAAGCAGTACATCGAGCCACACTATTAATTTGAAATGGGATTGCAGGGATTATATTTTTGGTCCAGCATCAAGACAACTCCCACCAACAATTCTATTGGGCCAATTCAAAGAATTGTAGATGTTCTGAATCCTTTGAACATCGAGTACCCTCATGAGGCATTTTATACATTTATACACACAAGTTAAAAGGTTTACACTGACCGCATTTATTCAAAAGCAGCATTTCAATTAATTTTGCAGTAAAATCAAATCAGTGACGTGGAAGCTAATCTTTTTTTCCCCCCAAAAAAATAATGGTACCAGGGCATGTTCTCCAGAAAATATGCAGATTAAGGCTTAAATATTTTTAAAGATGACATGGTAATATAATAGCAAAGAAACATGACTATTTAAATGTATGAAATCAAGTTCACAACAGATCATCATGTAAAGACAACTGTGCCACATAATATTCACAGGTTTACATTCGTTTTTGTATTAGTAGCAATTCAGGATTACATAAATCTAAAAAAACCCTACAGCATATATTTTTCTCAGCAGCTTTGACTCTCACTATATACATCTTTTCCCCACTCCAACATGAAAGAAAAGCTGTGCTGACACCTTGTGGTTTTTGCTGAAGACAAATCCATTAAAGAATTTAGTTCTAGCATTTGCGTAAACTGCACTGCTACTTCAGGGTAGTATGTTTCTTGTAGAAAAGCCTGTTGTCCCTAAACCAGGTGCTTGGTAATAACCGAATGACTCCAAGGAGATGCAGAATACTTGAGAACATCAGTCCTACAAACTAAAATAACTCGCTTGCGTCGTCTCCCATTTAACTACAAACTTCAAATCTATCTAATTAAATTTAACTAAATTTGACTGTGTTGATCCCATATCATGTAAAATCAAAGATAAGGGAATATCTTCTTTTATGAAGATATTCATTGGTAGCCTCATATTGCAACGAACAAGGACATAACATTCAATTTCACAGCTATTAAGATTGTTGGCCCTGCAGGTACAAAAATAGCCAGGAAAATGATTGAAGCCTAGAAAAGGGCCCCTTGTCAGTCAAAAGGAATGCTGATTTACCACCAGTTTATCAAGTACTTAGGAGCCAAGGACTTGGCAGCACAAGGAAACAACAGTTGATCACAGGCCATCAACACCAATCAATCAGTAGGAAGGTACCACAAATCACATATTCCAGTAGAGAGAAGTTCCCTGAAGATGAGCTCCACCACAAGTCCAAAAGCTCAAAACACTCGATCTCTGTTCCCAGTAACCAACCCAGATTGAAACTTGCAATATCTTCTTTTGTATAAAAAATGAAAAAAAAAAACCCTCAGACATATAACAGAGTGGGTGAATTTTTCCTCCAAGCACTTCCTATAAGGCCAGTACTAAAAATGGTGGGAAGCCTTCCAGTATTTTTTGTCCCATTTCTTAGCATATTTTCAATACTAGCTACAACTTCATACCAAATTAAAAGCTTGAATCACTGAATCCATTATATACTTAGCCCAGCATAGTTAGGCTGCAAAAATCCTTACTAGATGGCAGAAAAGATTTAGAAATGTCTATATAGCTCTACTGGGGTGGGGTGGATTTTTGCTGTCAGATCTGGTAAGCCAAACTATATTTTCAACTATCTTGATTATTTTTCTTCTTACAGCTAATTGGATTCTTTGGGGCATTATTCCTCTGATAGCTAATTAATTTAATTTTGGCACTCATTCTAGAAACCTGTTTTTATCCTGAAGCCAAAGATTAACTAAATATTCTGTTTTCCCTAGAGGGAAAGTTATTTCCCATGTGACAAAGGCACATTTTTCTATATCCAAAAACCACTTAAATCCTATAATATAATAATGCAAAACCAGACATTTTGCTAGTGAGATGTTCACATACAAAAGGCTTCTTTCTCTTCCAAATAATTGCTAGATCCCAAACATTCTTGACTTGTTGCCAGGTTCAGATGTGTGTTTTGCACCAAAGACATCCCTCAGCTGAATGCTTATCTTTGTTTAAAGTTCTTCTTTTAATCAAGCAGCCAAAACTAAGCAATTTTTGCATACAGAATTTTTAAAATCATAAAAGAAGTCATATCTATCTCAAAAGGGGTACAAAGTAGCTTCTGCATCAGCCTAAGCCAGGGGTAGGCAACCTTGCAGCTGGGAGTTGAAGTCCACGAGTCATAAAAGAGCCAAGGTTGCCTTCCCTGGCCTAAGCCATAAAGTGGTTTGTTTCATTTTGACTTAGTAAAATTGCATGAGGCAGGCAATATCAATCCTTGCTACCTCCCCCCATCCAAAAGCTAATCTGACTGCATTTTTCTCCCTCTTCTCTTTATGTACAGGTAGTCCTCCACTTACAACAGTTTGTTTAGTGACTGTTCAAAGTTACAACGGCACTGAAAAAAGGGATCATCTTTCATGCCACTGTGCAAAATGATTCTGTGATCAAAATTTAGAAGCTTGGCAACTGAGTCATATTTATAAGGGTTGCAGGTGTCCCAGTCTCCCTTTTGTGACGTGACAAAAATCAATATGAAAGCCAGATTCGCTTAACAACCATGTTACTAACTCAACAACTGCAGTGATTCACTTAACAAACGTAGCAGGAAAAGATAGTAAAATGGGGCAAAACTCACTTAATGTATGTCTCACTTAGCAACAGAAATTTTAGGCTCAGTTGTCATAGGTTGAGGACTCCCTGTATATCAGGGGTGTCAAACTCGCAATGTCACATGACGTGTTGAGACTTTTTTTGCCATTGCCAGCAATGGGGTGGGCACTGTTTCGCTATGATGCATCCAGCCTGCAGACCGGCAGTTTGACACCCCTACTGTATATGATAGAAGCAAAACTGGACATTACAGGAGGATTACAAGATTGTCTCTTTCAAGTCAAACCCAAAATTGGAGACTTCGTGGTGATAACCAGTGATACAGACCACTGTCTTCTTTCTGGAATGTTCCCCCTTGCTTCCCATCTAGCCTTCAGCCTTTATTCCTTAGAAATCTCTCACCAAGCACCACCCCTTACTAGGCTTCCATGTCAAGTCAGTGTCAGCCAGGTGTTGCCATCTGTTGAGACCAATTAAAAAAGCTATTAAAAATGCAGTAAACGCTACTTGGAGATTCATAATACAGAAACATCATTAACAAGACCATAATTTGCCCCACCGTTCAGCCCAGCAATATTAACACTTTCCTTTTGAGCTGATTCATTTCTAATATTTCACCACAACTAAACCATTAGGCAGAAAGTGAAGTGATGCCACCTACCTTCCAAAGGAAATCAACACACTAGAAGTACTATCTTTTCTCAAAGGAATTTTGTCCAGTCTGAACATAATCCAAACCGCTGTTATATCCTTAAAAGAAGAACAGCAGAAAAGACAGCTGTTCATTCTTGAACATATTGGCACAGAACAATTGCGGCTCAGTTAATACGCAGATGCATTCTGATATCAAATCTCATCAGCATGCTATCACAGCATATACCACAGGGGCCATATCTCATAAATCACCATGGCCAACTCTTATCATGATGAGCTACACTGAAGAAAGTTTTACCGAGTCAGAAATCAAAGGAAATGGGAGAAGTTACTTGATGATTAGAAACTGTTAGATGCCCGCTCTGAAAATGAAAAAATAAACAAAATAGCTATTTTTCTCCCTTCCACAGGTTTAGCACTTATATAAACACCACTTTGGCACCCTGCCTCAAAAACATTTATTAAAAAAAAACAGCATAAACCCTGAAACAAGCCCAGCATAAAACATTTCCCCCTCTATGTATCTGCCAACTGAAACAAGGCATTTTTCACACTTCCTTCATTTTGAAGATGGAGAGACAAGGGAAGAAATGCAAAGGACGCTAAACAGAAGGCTGTAGTGTGGTGAGATTGCCCGGATTTTTTTATGCTTGGTTCTTTTCTGGAGCTGATACGTGTTCACTTTGGAATAAACGATTGTGTCAATCTACATTCCAATTTTTATTTGCAAGCCATACAGAGAAGGTATCCACATATGTTTATTATAAAACATCACACATTTTGGGAAGTGAAATTAATCTTGTTGGAAAGCAATGTCACTGTTGGGAGTCTCCCCTTCTGCAATGGGTCTTGCATTTCTGTAAACAAAAGTCTCAATGCTTGTTAACAGACATTTTTTAGGATTTCAGGATAAACTGTCTTATTAACAGCGAATATTTTTTTTATCTCAATTTTCTTGGTCTTCACCAGGTAGCAACAGGATTGGTTTTATATTTTCTGTAATCATCCATGCAGAAAAATGCAAGCTCTGTTTCATTAGCTGAAATGAGAAAACGCACATATTTCACCCACTTGAGAAAGACTAGAGTTTTCCCATCATAAAAAATATAGTAATAATTAAGCTGTCATTTAAGACTGTTGTTGATTAACATCTTTTTACAACTGATCCCAATAGCAAGAAGACATAGGAGGCTTAGTAGAAGAAACAGGGAAGCATACTTGATTAAGAACAAAATTCAAAACAAAGGCATTGAGATGGCATTCCACAAGCTGAAAGCATCACTTCTTCTCTTTCATTATGTTCTCATTTCAAAATATAAGAAAATAGCTAAATCTGTATTTTAAAGTTCCTTGTTCTATTTAGTGAGAAGGGAGGGAGATCCCCCCCTGAAATTAACCTGTAGCCGTAATAATTTAATACTTAGAGGATCAGTAGAATATTTCACAGGTCACTTTACATTCTCCCTCATGACCCATCAAATGCGAGACTGAAGCAGCTAATTTTTTTCTTCCCCCCCCCCCCCTGCCAATGATTAATTCATGAGGCTTCAACAATATGCAAAGTGAAAGATACAAATTGGCTTCTCCAGCAATACCTTCAAATGCCTCTAATTATTCACAGGGGATCTGGCAGAGCTCAAGGAACCACAGAGGTTCAGAGCAGGCACAGATCTTCCCACCAGCAGGTCAAGGACTTCTTCTAAAACAGTAAGTCAGCAACATTACTAATTCAGAGCAGACACATCGCTGATGGAAAGTCATCACAATCAGAAGACGTGGGAGCCTTTTGAAGTGCGAGAACGAACCAAGTTCGGCACTCGCTTTTTAAAATTAAGCCATAAGTTAATGAAGTCTGCCTGTGTGTTGTGAAGAAAGGAGCAAGGGCGGGAGAGCTGTGACTGAATATTGACTAGGAAATCTGCAGAAAGAGAAAAGAAAGTCCTGGAGGAATCAAAACTGAAAGCAGACACTTGGTAATAGAACTTTTGGGTGAACTGCACCTGTTTAAGCCTTGCTTATTACTGCTAATTATTGCTCCTAAAACAGACATGTCAAACACAAGGCCCAGGGGCCGGATGCGGCCTGCAAAGTGGTTTCATGTGGCCCGTGAAGCCATCCTGGAAACAGTGAGGGAATGGCCCCCCACTGCCTTGGCCTTGGCCCAGGCCGGCCAAGAGCCAATGTACAATTTTGTGGTGGCCATTTATGCTGAAATGCATTCAGTCTTAAGTCCACAAGGCCGTCCGGAAACAGCGAGGAACCAGCCCCTGCCACATTGGCCCTGCCCTCTGGGTGCCTGCTGGGGAGGTGTCACCCTTTGTGAGAAATGAAGAAATGGACCATGCCTTGGCGCTTGCCCCGGTCCAACCCTCTTCTTCCAGAGACCCTCAGATCTGTCCCACTCCTGCCCAGGTCCCCACAGGCACCCTTGATGCGAACAATTTAGAGCTGGTAGGCCACACCCAGTAGGCCACACCTACTCCATCCACGCCCACCCAGTAGGCTGCACCCACCCTGGCCACCCCCACCCGGCCCCCCAAGGGCAACCACAATGCTGATGCAGCCCTCAATGAAATTAAGTTTGACACCCCTGTCCTAAAAGGTTATTCTGTTCTCACAATTTTTTTTTCTCCAATGAGAGAGTCTGTTCAGAAAGTCACATCTGGGTGTATAGACCCTTGACATCATCAGCAGCAAGCTTCAGATTTGCATCCTTGTTCTAAAACTTCCACAAATGAACAGAAATATTCCATACTTATTTAAATGCTAGATCTCTCCATACAATTTTCTGTGAAAAAGGGAGATAAAACATCAGTGCTTAGATGCTGCCCCCTTCTTTAGAGCAGTGTTCCTCCCTTAGGTTGGGTCCCATTCCATTAGGTTGGTTTTTCAGAAAGGGATAAAAACCTGGATTTTCTGGAGAGCTGTGAAACATTTTTGTTTTTTATTATTGAATTTCCATACTACCCATCTCATCTAAGTGACTCTGCGCTTAATAGACTGGTGATGAGGGCAACCTTCCTGCTGTGGGTTAGGCTGCTGTGGCAAGCACTGTTGCTTCCTTTTTCTAATGGTTATTATGATTTATTACTTTAATACATTATCATTCTTCTTAGGGTTACAGTCCTGGTTATTGTTATTCAAGTGAGATGAATTGAGCATTGTTGGGCATATAAACTCCAGATAATGGATAAAAATGAACATGTCTGATGCTCATTCACTAAATATAAGAAAGTTGTGTTTCCTTTTTCTTACCTGCGAGCTCACTCTACCTTATAAAGAGAGATGTTCAAGTCATTTCAAAATTATCTTATTTGAACAATGCATTCTTTTCTGTTGTCAGTTTATTTGTTCAGATAATTTTTAGTACTTTTGGAAGGTTTCATTACCACCATTCCTTGGAGGCTTAAATGTTGAAAGAAAAGTTCCCATCGAACAAATGGCAGACAGGGCAGCCTATCCAATGACCAGATAACACCCCCACTTTTCCTGTCTTCTTTTCACCATCACAAGCTGTATTTTCCTGAGTTCCTCCTGGATCACATCTACTGTTATGGACCAAGAACTTCCATTAAATTAGGGATAGGTAACTGACCGTCACTGAGCCCAATGAGTCTGTCCAGAACCCTGTCTGTGGCCTCTAGGCTGCAGCTGGACCAAGAACTTTTAGGCATCTTGTTTGGGGGAGGAATGGCATGCTTGGGGATTATGGGGGGGGGGGATGGGAGGGGTCTGCAGGCATGTGTCTTAGGCCTTGCAATAATCCTCATTATTGTCTTAGGCACTGCAGTAATCCTCATCACTTTCCAGAAATAAATCACAGCAAAGAAAAACTTTCTAATCATTTAATGCTTGATGTGATGCAAGTTTAAAGTTCCAGCCATCCAGAATGTGGATGATTTAGACAGCTCTTTTCCTACAATTGGAACATACAACAAGGTTTCTCTAGAAATATGGATTACAGTGAAAAACACTAAAGCAAGGGGTCTCCAAACTTGGCGACTTTAAGACTTGTGGACTTCAACTCCCAGAATTCCCCAGCACTCCCAGAATCCCCAGCCAAACAATTGTATACCAATCTATAATCAACCTCTCCTATTTTCAGCCATTTCAATGAGACATTTCATTCAAAGCCCCCATTTTCTCTGATGTGGACAACTAATCATTTCCTATTCGGTGCTATTATTGTTATTTTAAGTGTTTACATTTTGCAAACCACCTAAACTCTGATTGAAATTAAGGTGGCCTACTAGTGTGATTAAATAAAAAACAATGAATATACTGTTTTAAGCAGAGTGCTATGTGTCCAGAGAACTTGTTGATCTTAGAGATGCAGATAGTCCTCATTTAGCAACATCAATTGGTAACTCAGTTATTAAGTGAAACATCGTGGTTTTACAATTTTATTTCAGCTTTCCTTTGCTTTACAGACTTATAATGGTCATAAATGGGAGCACTAGTCACAAAGTTACATTTTCATCAGTATCATAACTGCAAGCGGTCACTAAAAATGTTCTCCCTCCCATATATTCTTCTCCTCCTCCCCATCTTTAGTTATAACTTGTATTTTATTGTAATTTTAATGTGATGTTATTTGTTTGTTTGTAAAATTTATTAGCTGCACATTTTACTACAAGACAACTCTGAATGGCTCTTTTATTCATATATTTATGGTTTCATTTTCATGCTGTAAGCTGTCCAGAGTTGCCTTGTGGTGAGATGGAGAAAGGAAGGAAGGAAGGAAGGAAGGAAGGAAGGAAGGAAGGAAGGAAGGAAGGAAGGAAGGAAGGAAGGAAGGAAGGAAGGAAGGAAGGAAGGGGAGGAGGGAGGGAGGGAGAGGGAAAGAAAGAAAGAAAGAAAGAAAGAAAGAAAGAAAGAAAGAGAGAGAGAGAGAGAGAGAGAGGGAGGGAGGAGGGAGGGAGGGAGAGGGAAAGAAAGAAAGAAAGAAAGAAAGAAAGAAAGAAAGAGGGAGAAAGAAAGAAAGAAAGAAAGAAAGAAAGAAAGAAAGAAAGAAAGGGAGAAAGAAAGAAAGAAAGAAAGAAAGAAAGGGGGGAGGGGGAGGGAGAGGGAAAGAAAGAAAGAAAGAAAGAAAGAGGGAGGGAGAAAGAAAGAAAGGGAGAAAGGAAAGAAAGAAAGAAAGAAAGAAAGAAAGAAAGAAAGAAAGAAAGAAAGAAAGAGGGAGAAAGGAAAGAAAGAAAGAAAGAAAGAAAGAAAGAAAGAAAGAAAGAGAGAGAGAGAGAGAGAGAGAGGGAGGGAGGGAGGAGGGAGGGAGGGAGAGGGAAAGAAAGAAAGAAAGAAAGAAAGAAAGAAAGAAAGAAAGAAAGAAAGAAAGAAAGAAAGAAAGAAAAAAAAAGAAAGAAAGAGGGGGAAAGAAAGAAAGAAAGAAAGAAAGAAAGAAAGAAAGAAAGAAAGAAAAGAAAGAGGGGGAAGAAAGAAAGGGGGAGGAGGGAGGGAGAGGGAAAGAAAGAAAGAAAGAAAGAAAGAAAGAAAGAAAGAAAGAAAGAAAGAGGGAGGGAGAAAGAAAGAAAGAAAGAAAGAAAGAAAGAAAGAAAGAAAGAAAGAAAGAAAGAAAGAGGGGGAGGAGGGAGGGAGAGGGAAAGAAAGAAAGAAAGAAAGAAAGAAAGAAAGAAAGAAAGAAAGAAAGAAAAAAAGAGGGAGGGAGAAAGAAAGAAAGAAAGGGAGAAAGGAAAGAAAGAAAGAAAAGAAAGAAAAAAGAAAGAGGGGGAAAGAAAGAAAGAAAGAAAGAAAGAAAGAAAGAAAGAAAGAAAGAAAGAAAGAAAGAAAGAAAGAAAGAAAGAAAGAAATGAGTCACTGAACAAGGATTACCTGCAATGCCAAATCAATATTTAACTGGCACCCTGCAGCCACCTGGTTTGGCCAACACAATCCTCTTTCTTTACATTTCTTACGGCATAACATACCCCAGGGCACTCTGCTTCAAATATCTGGGTGATTTCAGCACTGTGCTTTATTAAACAGATGCCGCTCTCATGTCTCCTTGCTAGTTCCCCTTCTTAAATTTCCAACCAAACCATCCATTTAAATGTTACTGAAAAGATTAAGCAGATGTGGTTCTAATAACCAAACTGTCAATCATTTAAAATGACTCTCCATAGAGTTCTAGGCATACCTTCCTTAAAAAAGAAAAGAAAAAAGCCTTCATTAGCATTCTGTAGGGAGAGACGTGCTCTCAAGCCCAATGATTTGAATGTACATTAAGCTGGCCTCCTCTCCCATCCCAGAATAATTACCAGTTTCTGCACTGAGCACCAGGAACAGCGTTTGCTTTTCAGCTGGCTATCCAAATACGGTCAGATGTTCTCGGAATAAAGGCGAGCACAATGAACCACTTCTTCTGTCAATTCAAATGAGCAACTTACCTACTCCAGTCGCTTTCAAGGTGCTGTCTTCCTCCAAAATGAGTCTGTCGTCATCCTCTAAACTCACAACAAGTTCATTGGTCTAGAAATGTGGGGAAAGGAAGGGTGGAATGAGAGAGTCGACATTGTCCAACATCAAGAAAAAAATAAGAACTATCTAGAAGGAAAGAAAGGAAACCAGGCCGCCAAAGACAAGCTTCAAAGCTGGACACTATCAAAGCTGACACCAACCCGAGTAGAAAAACCCAAAGACGCAGTGCAAAATCGGAAGATATGGAGAGACCTGGCCCATAAAATCAAGAGTCGCACACAACTGAATGGACAACATCATCGTCAGAGGGAAATAAGGAAGCAAGGATAAAACGTACCTTAGAGCCATGCGCTTGATGTATAATCTTCATTGTGTCTGAAAGAGATAATTTGAGACAGATTTGACCTTAAAACACTCATGGACACTTCCCAGATTTTGTGCATGCTTCCTTCACTCTGCAGTAGTATTACCTTTATTCATTGAACTAGAATTAGACACATGTCACAATTTGAAAAACAAAACCAATTCCTCCCAAAGTGATACTACTTGGGATAAATTTAGACCCATAAAACAAGAAAGAAATCTCAATGAATCAATGGACCCCAAGTAAACATACAGAAGAAGATTGCAGCCAGTTATTTATTTCATTATAATTAATTTGAACACCGGCTTTAGTACTTATTCAAAGGTTTTTAGGTTTAAATTATAAAATTATAAGCTGCTTACAATTGTCTTTTTCACTGAAGCAGCATAAAAGCACTATAAACAAATTAATCCAATCAGTGTAAATACATCCTGGCATAGGTTTTAACAATTAATTTGTTGCCAGCCTTAAAAATGTTATTAACTGCAACCTCTCTCCTAAAATGTTCTCAGATTATATACATCAAGAACTTATACCTGGCTCAGTTGTGGTCATAAGGACTAGCCGTACCAGGCTTCAGATAAAAATCAAAACCGATACTTTTTTCGAGCTAACAGCTTTCATCATATTTATCTTTGGGCAATAAGCAAATGTTTCATAAGCAAACTTCTGTTTCTCTGACCTTGCTTTCTACTCCAGTCCCCGTTCTGCTCCCCAACTATCCAGAGTAGATCTAACAGAATACATTCCCTTGATATCAGCTCAGTGGTGGGATTCAAATATGTAAACAACCAGTTTTCTGTGTGGATGCCACTTCCGGAAGTCCATTCTGGGCCTGGGCAACAAAAAATTAGCTACCGGTTCTGCCGAAGTGGTGCGAATCGGCAGAATCCCACCACTGCATCAGCCTCTCTGGGGAGTCCTTAACTCAGCATTATTTTCTGTTACGTTTGAAAATGGAAGATAGGTTCAATGTTTGCAAAAGAGGAAAGTACACACCATTTTCACAACAAAGAAAAGGCTAATCAAATCCTTGAGGGCTTTCCTCTAGCTTCCATCCCTTCTGCATCATTTTAAAATAAAAGTATTCAGTGGAATGAGAAAACAACGGGACTGAATTATATCAACTATATTAATCAATATCTTGTGATTTCAAGTCATTATCAGATTGTAGTAGAAACTAGCATCTATTAAAAGACCACTTTGATTTTTTTAACACTAATACGCAATCTATTCATTTAATAAAAACAAATTGAGAAATAATAACAAATTAAAACAAATAAAGAGATCATTCAATTTGAAACATACTAATTCCTATTCAAACTTTATTCTCAGTGTACTGTGCAAGGGCTTTACTATAGAACTCTGCCATCTACTGTCTTTTAATCTCAATAGGCTGGTCATACAATATTGTCAATTCTTATTATTTTTGACAAAAATTCTAAGTCAGTTTAGTATATATATATTTTTTAAAAAAAAACCTGCAAACAAGTGATGTAATTCTCCTGGGAAATTATTTTAGACATTTTAACACTATATTCTCAGAATTAGTTCAATATTGTGTAAGAGAGATTCCTAATCCATCTAGGTATAGTATATAATTTTTACTTGTCCAAAGGGATGTGCATTATTTGATTTATTTTTAAACATTTGCCAGCTAGCTCAGGGGTAAGCAACCTTGGCAATTTTATGACTCGTGGACTTCAACTCCCAGAATTCCTGAGCCAGCATGGCTCAGCTTGGAAACTTCTCCCTTTTCCCTCAGCATGGCTGGCTCAGGAATTCTGGGAGTTGAAGTCCACGAGTCATAAAAGAGCCAAGGTTGCCTACCCCTGAGCTAGTGCATTCTTTTTACATCAGCATGTTCCATTACATTATAGCATGCAAATTTATTTACTGAAAAAGCTGGCATGGTCATTAATTGACTGTTAACAGGTATATAGCCAAACCTGTAATTGTTTCAAACCATCCCATATCTGCAAAATTGGCATAATAATTGGACTCTTACAAGTCATTAATTTATCTTTTAATTTACTGATTCATTTTGATTTAAATATTACTTCGTCTAGCAAATTCATCTTTGAATCTTATTTCTTTATCTCTGCTCCGATTCGCTCCTTACTTACTATGTAAATTCTTTCAGCACTTAATTCTTATTCCTTGCTTCCCGCTCCTACTTAATGCCCCCTTCTTGACCTCACAACTAGTTGCTGGGCAATTGAAATGCAGAAGCTTGGAAGAAGCTGAGTTCAAAGGACTGTGGGTCATGAGTGGCATTTCAGCATGTAAGTCAAGCCCAAAAAGCATTTGGGGATCATATTACCAAAATCATACCCCAAGGACAACTCTGATAATTAATACCACAATGAATGAATAACAAACAGGCTAATGTGGAAGTTGAATTCCAAGATGACAACTCCAGAAGGAAAAGTTCTAGGTACAATGGAATTGTACTGCCTGATATTTTTCAATCCAACAATCGGAATAGAACTGAAAGGTTCCTTGTAGGTCTTCTAGTCCAATCCCCTGCTCAAGCAGGAGACCCTATACCAGTGGTGGCGAACCTATGGCACACGTGCCAGAGGTGGCACTGAGAGCCCTCTCTGTGGGCACACGCGCCATGCTCCGGAGATGGCAACCGTCTCTCTTCAACCAGCTGCCCGCTAACTCGCCGAGGTCCACATGGCTGGATGCATCCCAGTACCCATGCGCTCACTGGCCTCTGTGTGCAGGGGCCGATGGTGTCAGGTAGCAGCCGCCCCAACCCCTGCCTCACCTTGCCCTGCGACAATGGTTCCCCTGCCCTTCCTTGCCTTGCCTTGCCTCACCCTGCAGGATAAGCCTCCTGCCCACTGCCCCACCTGCCAGAAATTGGATTTCCTCCAACCCTGCCCGGTCCCCACAGGTGTCCCTCCCCACGAGCAACATCGAGGTTATCATGCCCACCTTGGCCACACCTACTCAGTCTGCCATGAGCACCACAGCCACGCCCACCTGGCACCTGGCGATAAATAAGTGGGTTTTGGGTTGTAGTTTGGGCACTCGGTCTCTAAAAGTTTCGCCATCACTGCCCTATACAATTTGAGAGAAGTGGTTGTCCAGTCTCTTAAAAACCTCCAGTGATGGAGCGCCTACAACTTCTGACGGCAAGCTGTTCCACTGCTTAATTGTTCTCACCAATAGATGACACATTTTGTAATAACGTGGGTACCCAGACACTTGATCTTCTGCCATGCAACATTATTTCTAATATCCCTCTACTTTCTGTCCCCTCTACAGGTATCATACTAGAGAACATGTAGCGCAGGGGTCTTCAACCTTGGCCCTTTATGACTTGTGGACTTCAATTCCCAGAATTGCTGGCTGAGGAATTCTGGGAGTTGAAGTCCACAAGTCATAAAAGGGCCAAGGTTGAAAACCCCTGATGTAGCGTGTTCTTGTGATCTTAATTGTCACAAGCATCAACACAAATAGAGATGAAACCCAAGGCTGGTTTATAAATACAATGATGCAATCTGCAAAGTTTGTTAAGAAAATTGTTTGAAGCATGCATGGGGCAGGAAAATTAAAACACAAAATGTGATTGACAGAAATGATTAATGCTGCCATCATATAGGGGAAGACCAAAAATGTAGACCACATCATTAATAACTCACCAAACTTTGTCCAGTGATGGTGTAGGCTTCGCTGGTTCCTATCAGGAAATCTTTAAAGCCACTTTACTAATGCAACTACCACCCAGCTCCAGGGAAGAGCCAATTCAATTATGATGTTCACTCAAAAGCAGTGAGTGAGTTCTCAACCTTCCTAATGCCGCAACCCCTGCGGGCGGGGGCAGGAGGGGCGGGGTTTGCTCACTCTCATTCTCTCTCTCTCTCTCTCTCTCTCACTCACTTTTTCTTTTTCTCTCTCTGGCGCGTGCGGTCCACCTCCTCTCCTGCAACTGGAGTGCGCGCCAGGCAGGTCAAGGGCGCACGTGGGCCGTCGCCCAGCAACTGCCTCGGCCCGGGAGCGCCATGCATGCATGGTGCTGCCCCCTGCACCGGCCGAGGCAGAGCTGGCGAGGTGCTGCTGTCTGCAATTTCATCATGCGGCGGGCCGCGCCTCCCCCTTGGCCTGCCCACCTGCCCGCCCTCGGCCGCGCCGCTCCATGCCATGGCACTTCTGCATCGTGATCAGCTGCCTCAGCAACAGCAGCAGCAGCCGCAGTGCCCGCCTCTTTGCCACCCTCCTGCCCCGCGCCTCGCTCCATGCGGCCCACCCCTCCTCCTCCACCAGCGTCCGGCCTCGCCGCCCGACCCCGCCGAACCCCGGCCTCAGCGCCAGCATGGATGGACCCACTGCCCAGAGATAGAGGAGCGGTGTCTCAGTTCGTAAGACCATCGGAAATATGTTTTTTCCGATGGTTTTAGGTAACCCCTGTGAAAGGGTCGTTCGACCCCCAAAGGGGTCACAACCCACAGGTTGAGAACCGCTGCTCAAAAGGAAGCAAATGGAAATTCTTCCTTTAATAGCTTAATTCATAGGAACACATGTTTTAAAGACTGCTAACGTTGACCAGAATGAGCATTACTAAGTCAATATGAGTGCGAGCCTTTATTCATTGATATAGTATTTTAAAACCAGAGGCAAATTAAAAGGAATAAAAGGAAAAAAGGAAATGAAGTTGTCTTCAGAAATAATTGATTTCAATCACCTGCCTCCCCAGCACAAGGTCTCTCACAGCATATACATTTCTACAGTCTGGATCAATGTTTGAGACCTACAATTAAATGTATACCACGTCTGAGTTCACTGATCCCCACCTGACTTTTATGAGTTAAATTTTGAAAGAAAGCTTGGGTGAATTAGAAAACCAAGCCAAACTGACATCCATGCTTTCTCACATCTTGTGTATTGTTCATTACTTTTTTCCAAGAAGAACTCGTGTTAATATTTAAATGTTGTTTAAAAAATAAGGAAAGGAAATTACCATAGGTATATTTTCTGAAAGGCGGCAAAAGTTCTGTCCTTGATGTGATATCTAGAGGGGGAGCAAAAATGAAAATCAACATTGTTTTCCCTGACATTTATTTAATGTACATAAGCCCCTGGACCATTATCTTAGACCAGGGGTAGGCTCTTTTTATGACTCGTGGACTTCAACTCCCAGAATTCCTGAGGCAGCATGGCTCAGCTTGGAAACTCTCCCTTTCCCCTCAGCATGGCTGGCTCAGGAATTCTGGGAGTTGAAGTCCATGAGTCATAAAGCGGCCTAGGGCAGGGATAGGCAACCTTGGCTCTTTTTATGACTCGTGGACTTCAACTCCCAGAATTCCTGAACCAGCTAGCTCAGCTTGGAAATTCTCCCTTTCACCTCAGCATGGCTGGCTTAGGAATTCTGGGAGTTGAAGTCCATGAGTCATAAAGCGGCCTAGGGCAGGGATAGGCAACCTTGGCTCTTTTTATGACTCATGGACTTCAACTCCCAGAATTCCTGAACCAGCTAGCTCAGCTTGGAAATTCTCCCTTTCACCTCAGCATGGCTGGCTCAGGAATTCTGGGAGTTGAAGTCCACGAGTCATAAAAGAGCCAAGGTTGCCTACCCCTGTCTTAGACCAAGAGAAAATAAAGCTGTTTTTCAATACCAATCAAAATGCACCAAATCCAATAAAACTCACTTACAAAGAAGCATAAATAGGTAGCTATGAGATCTTCTCCGAAAGAGACCAATAGGTGCAGCACCTAATCAGCTTTCACTGGTCTTAAAAGGTTAAACGGGGTCAGACCTGGCTAATATTCAGAGGGGAGCCCACCATAATTATTGGCTACACTGAGAAAGCATTCCCCCCCCCCCAAGAAGGCAGTGACAAAACACTCCCGTGTCAAGAAAACTGGATAGCTGCATCTATGTAGAGATCAGGGATTGAGTCAGGCCGATGAGGATCGTCATATTGTAATAAAGACATGTTCGAGGCAGGCTTGATGTCTGCTGACTACATTCCACAGAGTCTTCAGCCTGGAAAGGGTTTTTTTTTTGCCATTTTTTAGATTTGGCAGGAGTTTTTTTTTTCACTTTTACATCCAATACAGGTGGTTCTCCATTAACAACCACTCATTCAATGACTGTTTGAATTTACAACAGTGCTGGATGAGTGGTAGCTATGACCAGCTCTCATACCGATGATGTCACCGTGTCTTGGAATCAAGCAGTTGCAATTTAGAAGAACTTTCCTGCCGGTTTCCAACAAGCAAAGTCAATAGGGAAGGAGCTTGCAGGAGGCTGCCAGTCAGAATCACAGGAGGTTTTCATTGAATGGCCCACAGAACCCTTTCTTTACAACAGCAACCAGGACTGTCATTGCTGTTGCTATTGTTATTTTTCAACTTATGCCCCTGTCATTTAACAGTGGAGGTTTTGGTTCCAATTAGCACTGTGGGGTCCTTGGTGCTCTCTGAGCTTGGTGGTTTTCTTGCAGACCTTTTATTACTCAATTAGAAAGCATCATCAATCCAAGAAAGGAGTGGGATTTGCTCTCATTCTATATACTAGTACAGGGGTAGGTAATCTCGGCTCTTTTATGACTCATGGACTTCAACTCCCAGAATTCTGGGAGTTGAAGTCCATGAGTCATAAAAGAGCCGAGGTTGCCTACCCCTGTGTAACTAGTGGCTTGCCCTTTCACTGTGGGTGAGGGCGGTCCTGGTGTCTCCTTGATCAGACTCTTGTTTACTGTTAGCTTGTTTGTCTGAGTTGATAGTTCCTTGACTGGGATATTGTTTGCTTTTTGACTGTTCGCATTGTTAAACAAGAACTATCTGTAAACACAGTGAACCCACAAAGTGGATGTAACAATTATGTTAGATTATAGACTGAAATTTTATAATTCAAAATCTGCCACAACTTGTTTTTTTGTTTGTTTGTTTTGAGCTTTTGAGTCAATGTTGACTCCTGGCAACTGCCTAGACTGCCTGCCTGCATTTTTCTTGGCAAAGTTTTCCAGAAGTGGTTTGCCATTGCCTTTTACGAGGGCTGAGAAAGAGCGAGTGGCCCAAAGTCAGTTGACTTCGTGTCTAAGAGAGGACTAGAACTCACCATCTCCCTGTTTCTAGCCTGGTGTCTTAATTAAACTCGCTCTCCTAATATCTTAACATGTGATACTGTAAAAAACTTGCCTTGTAGTTTGATTATCCCTGAGAAAGCATATATTCTGAGAGAAATCAAACTTTACTGAGTTTGACTTTTCCAAATCATGGTCCAACAGAAACACTGTAGGAACAAGGGAGATAATATATCATCAAATCAGACAACTGGCCCAACCAACACATGACTGATGTCCTGGCTGACTGACTGCAGCACTGTGTTTCTGGTGATTTTTTTCTCCAGCTTGCCTAAAAATGCATTTTGCATGCAAAAAAGTACATGCTCCAATTCTTCTGCCAGAGAAATATCAGCAAACTGCCTTTTCCCTTTTCCCCCACCTCTGTTCTGCCAATTAATCTTTCAGCACACTGACCAACAAAGTCAACCCTCACAGCTTCTTACCCTTCTTCACAAATGCAATAAATTCTTTTACAGTCTGGTCCAGGTTAACATTATGGTACACAACTGGTCTGAAATTACGATGCTCAAAAGAGCGAATAAGACGAACGGTAACTATCACACTTTCAGATGACATGTGAATTAACCGCAATTTACCTGGAAGGCAAAAAACATAATAAAACATTGAATTATTGCCTTTAAAAGAACTGGTCTTCTTGGAAAATAAGAATATAAGAGATCAACTAAGAAGCATAAAGAGATTTTTAGAAGTTCATAATTATTTCATTCATTTCAGTAATCCTTATTTCAGAAATTTAGAAACATTTGAATAGTATTTTGAAAAGAAGCATTAAAAGAGGCATAAAGAAAAGGAGCCCTAAAACAGTGGTGTTAAAAGAAAACTGCTTAGTGGATACTGGCCTATCTTACCTTCACATTTTCTCTTTCTGGCCACTACTTTCCCTTATCCTTTCCTCCTCTGCCCCTTTAATTTAAAAAAAAACTAACGATCTTCTCAGTAGATGCCAAACTTTATATCATATTTCATATGATGCAGGAAGTTCAGATACAAGAAACAGATTTCATCCACCTTGAGACAGGATCCTAGGGTTACCTGATCTGTCCTGCAAAAGTCCAAACGACCAGTAGAGGGCAACAGAGAGGCCCTTCCATTTTGAGCCACTGTTTTGCTGCGATCTAGCGATCTTCCAGATTCCTTCAGACCACATCTGGTACCTCTAGTGCAGGGGTAAGCAACCTTGGCTCTTTTATGACTCATGGACTTCAACTCCCAGAATTCCTGGCTGGCTCAGGAATTCTGGGAGTTGAATTCCACCAGTCATAAAAGAACCAAGGTTGCCTACCCCTGCTCTAGTGAGTGCAATAGTAATCCAACCATTACAAAAAAAGACTATACAAGACTGGATAGGTCGGTCATGATAAATCAAGCGTCATGTGAGTCATGTGAGTCAGTACAGAACGGGGAGAGAAATTTGATCAAAATATTTACACGTGCATTTCGGTGTACGCGTGTTATGTGTGTGTGTGTGTGTATATATATCTGTGCATCATAGAAGCCTCATGCGAGCTCATGACTACAGTAAGAACATTAAAACTATACGGAGCAGCGTTTAATTGACTTATTTTACCAGAAGAAGGTAATATTATTTTTTTTATTTATTTATTTTTAGGCCCCCAAACTCTAAATGGACTCTACTTAAAAATGTAGAGTTGCACGCACCGGAGAAGTGACTTCGCCTTGGCAAAGTGCTTTCCCATCTATGAACGCCTCCCAACTCCAAGCACCCACATCTCCTTCAGCTTCATAGCAACGCATGACATTGTGCCTCCGAAATCACCTGCCCCTCTCCGTGACAGCTTCGCTAAGAATCCTGGTTTCCTCCCAGCCGAGTCGAGAGCCTCACTTCCTCGCCTCGCTTGCAGGTTCGCATACGCGAAGTCCCTCAAATGAATCCCATCCTTGTCTTAGAATCACGTGACTGGAAGGCTTCCTCCCCATCGCCTGTCATTTCCTGATAGAGAAAAAGGCTCGTCTTCTACTATTCTCCGCCCCTTCGCACCAGCGATTAACTGCTCCTCCCACTTTTGCGTTCCACCCAATGACAAAGCCTAGAATTCCCTTTTCCTTTTTGCTACTATTCTCCGGCCCACTCATCAAGCGATTGGCTGCTCTTCTTAATTTTTGCGTTCCACCCAATGACAAAGCTTAGAACTCCCTTTTCATTGCCTCGCCTTGCGATGAAAGGTGTCGCTGTCCTTTCTTTCCCTTACTTCGATGACATTTTTTTTTTCAATGATCTTTCAGGGAGAATGTTACGCACTTGGTATCTATGCCGATGTTATTGTAATCCACTTCGAGACGTCTGTTAACAATAAAAACAGCGTTAGGCGCCTATTTAAATTAAAGTACTTCCAAATAATTCCACTTTCTCACCACTTTCCACTTGCTCACGTGATTGGGGTAGGTTTCTTCCCTGCCCGAAACCCTTAGTCTCCCGACTGAGTTGCAAAGCTTGGCTGGGTGATTTTGAGGCAGTCACTACTCTCTCTCAGCCCAACCCACTTCACAGGATTGTTGTGAGGGAAAATGAGGAAGAAATATGAGGTACGTTTGCCACCTTGAGCTACTTACAAAGTAATAAAAGCGGCACAAAAAACCAAAAATTAATAAAAAAAACGAGGATGCAGCAAAAAGAGCAATTTACAACAATCATGCCAATCACTGCAGTAATATATTCAAAGTTGAAAGTAAAGTTTAAAATTCTCAAATAAAAATAAAATATTGTCCTTACACCATTGCACCGTTTACCCATTTTTGCAGTTTCTCCATCCTCAGTGCTCTAAGTTTTGTGATCCCTTATTTAATTACAAATAAGACCTGGACCAGAAGATAAAGATTGCTGTCTGGTTGAGGATGACCATGGTTTAAAAAAAATACTAGAATTTTTTCCGCTTGTCTATCGGCATTATTATACATCCTGGAGAGATGGCAAATCACATAACGTACATGAAGTCAAAACATTTATCTTGGTTACATTTGGCGTGATTTCTAAGGCCATAGGCATCCATGTCATAATTTCCACAGCATTTTCTGATTTGGCCACATGGGGTTCAATATTCCTCCCCCAGAGTGACATATCAAAGAGTTAAACTCAATTATTTTGCAATTAGACCTCAGGTTCCTAGTTGCAACATGTAGTCTGCTTGCTAGAGGCTCAAGAACAGGAGGAACACACAAGAATTCCTGAAAACAGAGCAATGAAATGGCAACATTTGCATCTTCATGAGAACCTCGCTAGGCAGCCTTCATTGGAAGTGTGGACAAGCCATGATCCAAAATGCATTTAAAAATGCATAATCCTAGGAATCAAAGTAGAACCTACGGTCAAAAAGGAGCTAAGAGGATTCGGGGACACCAAGTGGGTCTTTTGATTCAAAGACTCTGCTAATCTCTTTGGATTAAGCATATCATTAGAAATCTGTATTAATTTGGCAGTCTACTGTTCTTACATCCACTATATTTATTGACGCTAATATTTTGATTGTGCTCTGATAGCTTTTTTTATCACAGCAAATTTAATTTTCAGTCAGTTTTATATCACTTGAAATCTCTGGGCAACAGAAGTTTCTGTTAGCAAATCAATGCTGTCACCTATTTTATCCCGAATCTTCTAGTTCTAAACTCCCCCTATGTACACTTTCTTGATACAAAATAATCTAGAGACACTTAGAGCCCTACATTGAAAAAGAGATATCAGATGTTCAAACTGACTTTAGAAAAAGCTGATGAATACAAGACATGCCAGTGCATGTTGGATAATTGAGAAAGGCAAAAAAAACAGTCATTATGTGCTTCACTAATTATAGAAAGGCCTTTGTGTCAATCACATCAAGTTGTAGAATGTGTTAAAAGGTGGAGGAGCAGAATCTCAGAACATCTCACTGTCTTCGTGAGAAATTTATATATAGGTCAGGAAGCTTCAGTACTGACAGAACATGATGAAACAGACTAGCTCCAGATTGGCAAAGGAGTGCAACAAGGCACTTTCCCCTTATTTATTCAATCTATCTGCAGAGTTAGGGGAGCTGGATTACAGAAAGATTAGCATGATTTTAAAACATGAGAAAGAAACATGTTATGCTATGTTATGCTAAGGGCACTACTCCTGTAAAGATGCTAAGAAAAAGACTCAGGCATTTCTTGAGCAGAGGTTTGAAGCTGCAGGACACAGCTTGACAAACTCTGAGTTTATTGCTTCTTATATACTTTTTACATACATAGGCTTTTACATTAAATGCAGTAAAGGTTACTTCACTGGAAAAATGTCTTCATGTAAGCACCTATTTTCTAGTAACACATTACATGGTCAGAGATCAGGTAAAGAGCAAACAGGAGAAGGAACTAACAAAGACAGAAAGAGATAAGAGAAAGAACTAAGCATATTACTTGTTTAGGTAGGTAAGATATTAAGTCAAAAGGGTATGAACTTCTGGCTGCTTCATTAGGACAAAGGGTATCAAAAGGTTATGAGGTTTGTGTGGGGGAAAGCATGGCAGCTTGCTGCGTGTGCTTTTTTCCCCACATACTCCGATAGCCAAAAATGCAAAGGATCTGCAAGCCCTAGTAATAAAATTCAAGGAGCACAATGAAAAGGGGGACTAAAATTATAAAATATAAAAAAGATTAAACTAGTTAGAACCACAAGCCTTAGAAATGACAGTGAAGATATCAAAGTGGTGGATAACTTCTGCCTATTAGGATTAACCATCAATAGTAAAGACAAAAGCAGTCAAGAAATACACAGCAGATTCGCACTTGGTAGAGCAGCCATGAAGGCCTTGGAGAAGTTACTGCATTCAAATGCCATCATGTATCTTTACTTACAAAGATAAGAATTGTACAACCTGTGGAAGCAAAACTTGAACCTTAAAGAAGCAGGCTAGGCAGAGTACTAATGCCTTTGAATTGTAGTTTTGAAAATATTCCTGAGAAGACCCGGGACAGCCAAAAAATAAAGAAAGATAGAAAAAAACCAGTGGCTCATCAAACAAATTAACTGAGAGCTTTAACTCAAGGAACCAATAACCAGGCTCAAATTAGTCTATGGTACTTCAGAGGCTTTATGTAAAAACCTGCCTCTGTGGAGAAAGCTTTAATGTGGGAAAGATAGAAGGAAAAGGGAAGAAGAAACTTTTGATTTTTTTTTTTTAAAGGCCCCAAGATCTACTTTATGCTGCCAGGTCTAGTTTCCAGAGAATCAGAGATCTGTCTCAATGGCTTGTATTGCTGAGGGGGCCGTTTTTACATGTCTGAGCTAAGCTCAAAGAAGATGCGGGGAAATGCAGTTGAGTTCAGTTCTTTATTTGCTTACATCTAATAGGCAGAATCTCACCAGATTAAAGGTACAATCTTCTAGTCTATAAGATATATCCTGGGAAATTCTAGGGTGTGGCCACCCTAAACTTTTTCTTCCTTATCCCCATGGAGTTCAGGACTGCGCAATCTCATATATCGTGCCTCTCCCAGGAACGTGCTGCCTCAAGTGAAGCCACAATGTGATTGCCAAGATTCCCCTCCCACTCTTTCTCCAGCTTCACATTCTATCACACTATGCCCATTGTTACTATTTTCGTTTTTATGTTATTTATTACTGTAAGGTTTTTTTAGACTTTTATTTATGTTTCTATTAGCTCTTTCATTTATTGCTGTGTGCCACCCAATGCCACCTTTGGTGAGTGGGAATATGAATTTGATTAATAAAAAAACAGGACAAAAATTACAAGGGAGACTCAGTTACAGTGGAGATGAGTGCATTCTTAGAGGAACTAAAGGATCAGGGTAGGGACAGAATGTCGTGGAAATATGTATGTGGTCACTAAGACAACAACTTGATGGCATGCCGTCAATTAGTCAATCTCCCTTGAAAGGGAGACATTCAGGTTGTGGATTTCCAACCTGCCTAACATGTTGGAGATATGGGGAAGGTGCCCGCCCAGTAAAGACATCTCTCTGGAAGATAGATGATGGCAACAGCATCTACCAAGGACAGCACCACAAAATGGGCCAGAGTATCTAAAACCCAGAGAAAGTTGGGGATAGGAGGGTTGAGATTACTTACTTTTCACTCTACAGCAGGAGTGTCCAATCTTGGCAGCTTTAAGACCTATGGCCTTCAATTCCCAGAATTCCCCAGCCAGTCATGCTGAGTGAGGAATGCTGGGGGTTGAAGTCCATAGATTTTAGAGTTGCCAAGATTGGACGTTCCTGCTCTACAGGATCATCCTTGTTTTACACATGCTTCCTAACTGTCTCTACATCTGTTTATGTTAGGGAAATATTTTAAAAGATCAACTATTGGATTCTTGGTGTTTGCCAAGCTGGATTATTCTCACAGACAATTTATTATTTTAATGAGAGAACGATCAAGAAGGCACCACACCCCAAGTACGATTGGCAGAGCAAGCTCTATGTAATCAGCCAGCAAAGTCCACTTCTCCGGCACTGATAATGTTACCTAACCTGGCAAAGAAGCATCTGGAAGAAAACAACCCAGATCAGCAAACGCCAAGAACCCCAACATTTCAACACTGAACTACATATATTCTCTACTATTGGGGGGGGGAGACCTTTTCCAATCCCGAAGCCCCTCTGTAACCATGTTAACAATTAATTAACCTTATAAAGTAATGATCTGGGCTTTCACAATACTCTCAACCAGAACAGCTCAACAATAAGTACCTTTACAACTTGATGAGTCATAAACTGAGCAACCATATTTTAAGCCTGCATGTCATTGCAAACCCAACTTTGCCATACTTTCTTGCTTTAATGATGAAACAGGACTCTTATACTTTCATCATACCATTTCACATTTTGCATTGACTTAAGTTCTAGCACCATTAAATATAAAAAAAGAAAAGAAAATGGGTCTTGCTTTGGGAGGCCTAATGTTAAATGTACTTGAAAGTCATGCCTGATTTTGTTGTAGAAAAAAAAATCATGTTGGAAAATGAGGAAATAAAAAGATAAGGATCTGTACAAGAATAACATGTGTTCAATAAGTTGCAGTAGCAAAACTGAACATAACTATACTTGTTCTACCACTTGCTTCTACCGAACAAGCATTTGTTGTTGTTTTTTTACAATATTTTATTAAGTTTTATAAGATTAGGGGAGGGATAGGGTCAATATAGGATTCAGGGATGGGGTTGGGATAGGGGTAGGTACAACAACGGGGTTGCCCCCAATAACATTTCCAAGCTTTAGCAAGCAGACTATTGTCCAGATACAAATATTCAATAACAGTAATTAATATAATAGTAAATAGCTATAGTCAATAAGAATAACAGTAATCATAAAGAGTATTAATTAATCAGTAGATATCATTCATCTTATTAAATATCACAATCATTTCTCGCTAGTTCGTTTTGCTAACCATTGGTAAAAGTTTTCCCATGTTTTAAAATAAACTGAGTCTTCTTTCTCTTTAATCTCTAAGGTTAGCCTGTCTATTTCTGCACATTCTAAAATTTTCCTAATTTATAATCTCATCAGATGGTATATTTTCATTTTTCCAATATTGGGCAAATGCTATTCTTGCAGCTGTCAATATATGTAATATTAAATACTCATTCTCTTTCCCATAATTGGGTCCTAATATTCCTAACAAAAACAGTTCTGGCTTAAATTCTATCTAGCATTTGTCATCCCCTCTGCAATTGCGGGGTCTTGAAATCTAGCTCCAGCTGTGCAGTTGGCACACAGTATGGACTTTGTAATACTTGAAATATGGTGT